TTTATTCCATTATAGTTATGGCCTAGAATTTTTAAATCTACAAAACAGTGGCCCTTAATTTTAGATTGCAAAGAAATGGAGGCCATAGAAATATGTCCGGAACTTGGATGTGTCGTGATTCTACGAGCAATAATAAAATTTTGATCAATATATGATTCAGAGCTACCCGTATCTATTAAAGCATCTGCTTCGAAATCATTTACTCTCATCTTAATAAGTGACTTTGATAAACACTTCGGAGCTGCAGCTAGTAGGTTAGAATTACTTTGAGTACAGGCAGTAGTAGACTTGATGTTTAGTTTCTTGCCCTGACAAACTTTAGCGAAATGGCCAAGCTTTTTACATTCTTTGCAAATAACATCCCTAGCAGGACAATTCACACGAGGATGTCTCTTATTTCCACAAAAATAACTTTTCGCAAAGGAATTCGAAGCTGCGTTGCATGACTGACATGGCGATGGCTGGTTGGCTATATCTTCTTGGGTAATATCTCTAGATTGCATTGCATTTCCAAAGTTTAATGGTTGAGTATAAGCTTTGGCGTGTATCTGAGCAGATTCTAAAGAACGTGCTTGAGTAACTGCTGTCTCAAGGGTTAATGAAGCATTTTCAAGAAGACGTTGACGAATTTATTGGGAACTCAAACCACTTATGAAGGCATCTCTAATATAATCGTTACGATTTTCGTCACATTTTACAGACTTAAAGTTACAATCTTTACTAAGTATTTTTAAATTCTGAAGAAATTGATCTATAGTTTCATCTTCGCACTGTTTTCGGGTTATCAGCTTATGCCTAGCAAATATTTCATTTTTGGGTTTCACGTAAACAGTTATCAAACGTTCTATAGTAGTCTCATATGTAGTACACTTACTAATATATTTAAAGACGGATGGTGAAGTATAATTTATAAGTAAATTTAGTTTCTTTTCTTCTGTTAATATGGGTATCTCTTTTAAGAAATTCTCGAATGTCTTATACCAGTAAATCCATGCATCAGAGGCAGTGCTTGAATTCGGATCTACATCTAATTTATCAGGCTGGAAGAGTCGACCCAAGAATGACTTTTCAAGAATGGTAGCTGATGCTTCATTCGTTGTTAAAGGCATTATTTTTAATTGATTAAATTGAAATGAATTATACTCCTTTTGTAAAGGTTTAATCAATTAAAAATGACAATTAGCTTGACAAGATTAACTAACATTAATAACATAATGACAATTATAGAATAACCATAGAAATATTACCACATCAGGTACTTGAACTGACCCTTTTAATCCCCTAACTCGGGTAAGTCTCATCAGTTTGTGCGTTCTTACTAATGAGAGTAGATCGAATTCAGCGTGTTATTTTATGTTAAGAAAAGAGTGTTTTTGTGTTATTGAACAGAATTAAAATGAGTTCAGATTCTAGTTCAAGAAGAAGTTGTATAAATCAACCTGATGTGTTTTGCTATATATGCGGAGAATACATGTTTCAACAAAACAGACAAACTATTACTGACTTTGTAAAGCAAGCGTATCTTGGATATATTGGAGTTAACCTTGGTGATCAGGACAAAAGTGGACTCCGCATCTGGTATGTAAAACTTGTACAGAGCATTTACGGCAGTGGACTACCGGGAAAAGAAAATGTCAAAAATTTGGCGTCCCAATAGTTTGAAGAGAACCAAAAAACCACTTCAATGATTGTTATTTCTGTTTAGTAAATACTAAAGGAATCAATCGAAATAATCCCAGTAAGTAATGAAACTAACAGTGACTATGAGGAGACGTCATCAGTTCCTCAACGCTTCAATCAAAATGAATTAAATGATCTCACCAGGAATCTCAATATATCGAAAAAAAGCTTCTGAAGTACTGGCTTCTAGGTTGAACGACAAAAATTTATTGGAACAAGGAACCAAAATTACCTTTTACCGTACAAGAGAAAAGTATCTGCTACCATTCTTTTCTCAAGAAGACAATCTTGTATTTTGTCACGAAACTATTGGACTCATGAAAGAAATGGGACTTTCTGAATATATTCCAGATGATTGGCGTCTATTTATTGACAGTTCAAAGCGAAGTTTAAAATGTGTCCTTCTACATAATGGGAATAAATATGGTACAATACCATTAGCTCACTCAACGAAACTGAAAGAAGAATATATTACCGTAGCTTTGGTCTTGCAAAAGATAAAGTATCACGAACATCAATGGATGATTTGTGTAGACTTAAAAATGGTAAACTTTCTTCTTGGACAGCAAAGTAGTTATACGAAATACCCGTGTTTCTTGTGCCTCTGGGATAGTAGGGACAAAACACACTACTGGGTTAGAAAAGATTGGCATCAAAGAGAAAACATGGACATGGAAAAATATAAAGTTGGGCTTAATGAAGCAATTTGTAAAGGCTCTTGATAAGAATGGGTCATGTTTTGCATATACTGCGTACAAATGCATCAGTTGAGCACATAAAAACTCAAAGCAGGGATATTTGACGGCCCACAAATAAGACAATTAATTAAGGATCCTGCCTTCATAAATTCAATAAATCAAGTTGAACGAGAAGCTTGGATATCATTTTTTTCAGATGCTTAATAGTTTCAAATTCTTAGGATGCAATATGACTATTAAAATACACTATTTACACAACCACTTAGACCGTTTTCCAAAAAATTTAGGAGACATGAGTAAGGTGAATCAGCTCGACACCAAAACAGCTGTTCCCTGTGTTATTATTTATTGTGTTCTCGTGTAGATACCGCTTTTAAAATGCTATGAAAAAGTAAGAAATTTTAGAAGTATAAACTATAATAAAAATGTTAAATTAAATATCAAAATGTGTCTAAACGATGATTTCAACTGTGATATTTTAAGAAAACTGCTCTTTATGAAACATTGCAAAATTGTAAAAATTCAGGATTTATTAAAACTGCAAGTGTTTTTATCATTAAATTTAAAGTGAAAAACTGCTACTGATAATGTTAATAAAAAATAAACAAAAACTATTTTAAACCTAATCTGATAATTGATAAAGTAAAACATTTTAAATTAATAGTGCAGTGGCGTAACATAGGTACATAAAATGCCCTTTTTTAAAATGTCACAATAAACAAGACTTTAAAAACTTAGTGTGCCTAACGTGTTTCGGTATACTACATCCAAGCTGCCTGGAAAGAGACTTTAAGGATACAATTAAAATTGACAGTTATAGGGTGTATTGTTCGTCCAAATGTGAAAAAGAGAAAAATGAAGAAGAAATAAGAATTAGTTATTATGAAGCCGAAAATATATAATACAGAGTTTACAGCTCCTTCCAATTTTAACTTCGACTCCACCTCATGGCACTTTATTTCACCGTCCTTGACCGGTTCTAAATGTTCCAGTTCTTCTATTTTCTTTTCCATCTCTTTTATTTTCTCCTCAACGGAAGTCATCTTATTTTCCACATCAGCAGAAATTTCATTTTTCAGAGAAGACATTTTGTTTTCCAAATCGGAAGAAATTTCGATTTTTAAAGAAGATATGTCGGAAGATACCTTGTCTTCAAAAGAAGAAACTTTACTGTCTAAGGAAGAAATGTCTGAAGAAACCTTACTTCCTAAGGAACTAATATCATTTTTTATAGAAGAAACATCGAAAGAAACTTTAGTCTCCAAGAATGTAATGTCAGAAGAAACTTTAGTTTGCATGGAAGAAAATTTACTATCTTATGAAGAAATTATAGAAGATGCATCATCCGCAAATAGAAATGTTTCCGGATCCAAACCTTCGCTTCCCATTGCTTCTTTAAGCCGCTCAGCCAGCTCTGCTTTCTTCCCTGTCGTCTTCAGATCACGATCCTCTAATTCTCCACGCAATTCAGCCACTTTTAAATCACATAGTTTTTTAGCCATGATTGTCCACTATTTATTTATAGTTCCACTTCTAACACCAATGTGACGAAAATCTAATTTATAGTTTATTTATTTAAAACACACTATTTACAATTTATTTAAGATGTACTATTTAATTTATATAATACTTAGACACTAACTAACAATTCTGATTTATTTATTACACTTTAACTTTTCATTATAATGCTCTAAACTAAAACTGTCTATGTATAACTGACTGCCGTCTTCAAACTCGCGATATTTATATCAAGCCAACTCTGTAACCAGAATACTCTAGACGGTGTGGAATGTCCTATTCTTCCATCTCTATGACTCAACGTCACGTATCTACCGCTTGGTCTGGTATATTCGAGAAGCATCTGATTGTCTCTATATTGCCAGCGCGCCGCTAGACTCTATACCGCAGGAGTAATCAAAGGACAGGGTAGGCTTTCGCACGACAGTATAAAAGATTTATTTATTTATTTTTTCCGCATCGATATTTAGATGATTAATTTTACTTCAACATGTTGAGAGTTTAACATTGAAATCACTCAGCGATACAAGATGGGAAAGCAGAACTTATGCCATAAAACCTTTGAGATACTAAATGGGTAAAATTTATGAAGATCTTTTTTCTACATATAATGATCCAAATATTGATGCTGCTATCAGAGATGAAGCGTCTGGTTTACTTACAGTTCAAATTCTTATGTTCTGTTGTTATTTGGTCTACTCTTTAACCGACTTCAAAAAAGGAGGAGGTTCTCAATTCGTCGTAATATAATAATATTATAACATACATAAAATATATCTATATATATATATATATATATATATATATATATATATATATATAGATATATTTTATGTATGTTATAATATTATTATATTACGACGAATTGAGAACCTCCTCCTTTTTTGAAGTCCGATTACAATGATTATTTTTTTGTTAGAAAGAGAGTACTTCAGGGGTATGTTATTTATTTTAAAATAATGTGCTTTTATGAAATAATGTAAATGGATTCTAAAGTTTGTAAGTGGACCACTACCACCGAAGTTTATAGTATTTTACTTGTTATGAGCTGATAAAAAATTATGTTTTCCCTATTAATTATATCGAAATATTTTTTATTTTTAGGAATATGGGATAATTTGTGCTTAGAGGATCTGTCACTAGACAACTCTTTATTAGTTGTTGGATACGATCTTGACCATAATTTAGACATAGATTATTGGATTTTAAGAAATTCTTGGGGTAAAAGTTGGGGTATGGATGGTTACATGAAATTCCGAAGAAATATGAATCGTTGTGGTATTGCTTCATATGCTCTTTATCCAGTTGTGTAAATATGGCAATTTTAGTTCAAATAGATGTTATAGACAAAAGACGTAGAATTTATATATTTTATTTTTGCTTTTATCTGTGTAATAAATTAATTTGAATAGCCATTTTTCATTAAATATGTTAAATAATTTATATTAGTTTTATTTTTTATCTTTCTCCTACATTTTCACTCATATAACATTTTATACTAGTTATGATAACACAATCATAGGGAACACAAGTAGAATTATGCAGACGCACAGTGGCGGATTTTTCCAAAAACTTGGCCAAAATACAAAAAATGAAATTACGATATGTAATTGCAATACATTCGTAAATGATAGTATTAATGTCCCTCTTCACTGGACTATAACTCTTACCAGAATATATACAGCGCCAACTGAGCGACAACTGCTTAAACTTCAAGTATTTAAAAGAAAATAATTGTGTTGATAATTCCTTTAAAATTGTTGTTTTTTTATTTGTTTCTGTGTTACTTGTTTTAATAATATAATTATTTTAATGATATGGATTCTGTAGCTGGAGGTATGAGCAAAGTTTTTTCTTATTTATATTAACATTTTTGACTACTTGTCAAATATGAACTAAGTTTAATGTAGCTGTCATAGTTTCTAGTTGATCCACATTTATTTATTTTGTGTAGACCAATGATAATGATTTCCGTAGATTTCCGTCATATTAATGTAATTATCTTATATAATGGACTGTCCGGCAATAGGACAAACCTCCGAGCAATTACTACTAGAGGGAGTCTTCCCCCCTTCCCCGCGCTAAATTTTGTTAGCAACATCTACTCCCCCCGAGTGGGGAAATACCTCTTCTATAATTGGCTTATTTAATCAGCGTTGCCAAGTTTGACAGTGAGGTTGTGACCTCGTTCTGACACTTTCTGATACATGTCAATTATTGATTTGTATTTTACGAAAAATATAATTATTTATAGCCTTGTAAGGGTTTTAAATGTATGTTGAAGAATTATTATCTGTAATAATATGGTGAAAACATGCTTTATGTGTAAAAGACCTGTTGAAAATGCTTCTTCAAGATTATATCATAGGTAAGTACAAATACAACTTAATTACCAGAGGCGGTGCATTAGGTAATCACCTTTAATTTGCAATTGAACTTTCTTATTTTCGAAAAAGTAAAATTAAGAGGGAATAAATCCCAGCTAAGTTCATCTTCATCTGTATCATAATGATTATAGTAAAGGTTTAACAGAGAGGTTAATTACTTATTATTATTATTTTAATATCACATCTTTGTAAAGTCTATTATTTTTTTTAGGTTTCCTTTTCTTGATATGAGAAAGAAATACATGGTTCCAAAATTTAAGAATTCAACAAGTGACCACCTGAATACCTTTTTATGCTAATGAACATTTTTATTATAGACCTCAGGGGAGGAAAATATTAAAGAAAAATGCAATTTCGACGAAAGAAGTATAATAATCAATCCTGTCACTACTTCTACACTATATTCATCTGCTACTAAAATACTAAAACAGCAAGTAAGTAGAGAAACTTAAGTTTCTTTCAAAAAGAATGTTTAAGGAAAAAGGCATAGCCATTTTTTTGTTGACACTTTTTTTTACCTAATCTAAAAACTAATTTTGTGTATTGTTTAAATTTTAATTTTTTGTACTTAATTTGTTTTAGGTTTAAACAAAATGAACTTCTAAGAATATCCCAAAAGAGCTAAAGAAGGTTTTAAAATTCTTAAGAAAACTATTCAGAGCCAAAAACATAAAATAGTCTTCCTGTCCAAAATATAAATAGGTATAAATATTTAGATATTATGAGTGATTTTTTATTCTATAAATAGAACATAATTTGCTTCTAAATCACTACCTAATGAACTATATTATATAGTACAAAACTAAACAAGAATATCACATTATTCATGTTTTTTTAATTTCCTTAAAAACGTCCCAAAAAAATGTGAATATTTATTATTGGGGTTTACATCGTTATGCTAAAACAATACTAGAATAATTTAAATAATGTGGATTTTGACTATTTTGAGTTATGCAGATCATTATGATCTAAAAAAATGTTTCTCTGGTGCTATAGTCAGGTATAAAAACATTCATTTATTTAAACACAGTTGCAATGTACATTTTATTTAGTTTTTAAGTTAAAACCTTTTAGGACATCCTGAAATGACTTTTTTCGTTTGATGTGAGATCAATTATTCTACATTTTTGTTGGTGAAATAGGATATATTAAGATGTCTTACTGTTTTCTCTGATTATCTAAAAAGTTAGAACAATATACAAAGACTGTTATAACAAAAAAGAGATATACCTTTACTTAAACACACAATTAGTCAGTTCAATTGTACGATAATTTAAAGCAGAAATCCAGAAAACTTTAAAAACGTGTTTAAATGTGTTTTTACTATAACAAGGACATAATTATTAAAAAAAACTTGGCACATTAACATTGACGATAGGTTTTTATAATATATATTATACAAATCACAACGAACTACACAAAATGACATTATTAATAATTTAACAATAAAAAAGTTAAGTACAATGATGACATTAAAAGTTGAGATTCTCGAAATAATTTTTTTAAATTGTCTCAGTACCTACCTAGTATTTTTCTAGCACAATGATATATGAATGTGCATTGTGTGATATCTTATATTTTAGGAATAAAATAATATATTTTTTTGCAGGTTTCTGTTAACAACGATTCCAAGAACTTTTGAAAATATTATTAAAATGGCCTTTGCAAATATAATTCTCAATTAAGAGCTTCTGATCTAACATTAAATTTTTATTCTCCATAAGGTTACAGCTTCCTAAGAAGAAAGTTTAACAAGACTTACCAGACCCAAAATATCAAAGTTTTACTAACCAATTGATGGTTCTACTGGTTTCCATAGGAAAATTCTCCTCGAAACTACTAAAAGAAAAGTGACAGAGGCAACCGAAGAAGGCAAAAAAGTCTTTTGCAAAACAAAAACTAGAAATTTGTTTAAGAATCTAATTATTGTTTGAAGTTTTACCATTAATAATTTTTGATAAGATTTAAGATTATGAAGTTCTATTATGTATTTTATTTACTCTTTGATAACCTATGTTTAAATTTTTATTAGGACCAAAATAAATTATAATTTTCATTTCAACTACAAAAACCCTCATAATATTAAAAAGGGGGAAAACGTTAGATTAGTTATGTTCAGGAATAAACTCTTTAAACTTTCATCTACTTAAAATGTGTTACTTTTAGAAGGTATGTTATTAACTTTCTATTTGTACTTGTATTAATTTATTTCATTTTATTATCTGTTATATCTTCAAATTAATTTTGATATTAATCTTATCTATTTATATATTTTTTATATTCACATATATGTTTTTTTCAGTGAAACAAACGTTTATTAGCTTATTAATTATAATGAATTCATGTTGTTTTATTATATGCTTGTATAAATGATTACTTTTATTTCCTTTTAAAAATGAATTTCGAAAATAAAGCCGAAACGGTGAGTGAGAATAAAAAAATAGACGAAAGTGACGATATTTACTGGAGCTTTCATCTACATGCTCATTTTTCTAGCCATCTACACCTGAGCCAGCAAGATTCGTCTTCCCTCCATCCTTAAATTCTCCAGATTTACAGAGAAAACGCCGTCCTCCTTAACTTATCCAGACCTTCTTTGACGGGGACTATACCACTGCATTATCAGCTTTATTTGTTATCCCGAGCAATTTAAATACATTCGTAATTGCTCATTCTCACCTCTTTTCTTGTAGATTCCGTACTCAGTTTTCTTATTTTTAGTTACGTTTGCACTGCTCTTTTATTTTCACAGCTTTAATTCTATAATGCTGTAACGCTACAATATGGATCCATTTTTGTGGTTTATATTATTTAATGTTATTCGTAATTGACCAACCTATTATAATAATTAAATATTATTGTATTACAGGCCTAAAGATGTTCCTGTAAGGCCGAAACTAGTCGCTCCTGTATTTATAATAAAATTGATTTTAAGGTTTTATTCTTCAATTGAAAAAATTAGACCTTTACAGTGATTTTGTTTCATTTCCTGCATTAAACACATATAAGACGGTATTCATTTTAAAAATAGTAAAATTAGCAAATTTTTTTAGTTTTTTTTTACAATTAAAACGTTTGGACAATGTGTGTTTTTATAGATTAATGATACGCCACTGAACAAGAAGGATGTTTACCTTCCCCCTTGTGCCCGCTTCCTCACTTCCTCCACAGATGTTGCTAACACAACAATCGCCTACAACCTCGTTTTCACGCTCCCTCTATTAGTAATTGCTCGGAGGGACAAACAGATAAATTTTGCGAATACTTGCTAATCACAATACAAATGTCACTAATATGTATAACGAACGACCGCATTCCTTTTTATTATTTACCATTGACACAAAGTACGTACTTTTGGTATAGTTCAAAATTACAACTTCAAGATTATGATTGACTTTCTCGTTTTGGAGGACTCGGAGTATGAAAAGCATTATTAGTTTTTGTGGAGATTGGAGCGTAGAAAGGGGGTTTTCAAAAGGGGTTCAACACAAAAAAATATGTATGTAAAAAATCAATTGATAAGAAAATTATTTTTTTGAAATAATATTGAGAAAAATAATCTTGATTGTTTTGAAAAACATAAAGCTCATTGGTGTACGTTAAAAGTTACTTTTGGAAATTAAAAATTTTAAAAATAATTAAAAAATACTATTTAATTTCGACTAAATTTAGATCACACATTTATTCAAGAAACTTTAAAATATGAAAATCATTGAGTTATATTAAGGGTAATAAGGGTAATAAGTTTGGGTAGTAAAAATTAAAAAAGCTTTGAATTTCTCCATAATTAACAGGTATAAATATTTAGTTGCGTTATTCTTTATTTGGTCAAATTATAAAATTTGCTGGTGTTCGTAACGGAATTATTGGGGATTGACGAAAAATTAAGTAATAAATATTGTTTTTTTTAGGTTCTAGGAATCAACATATTATTATTTCTAAGCGTGAATTGTTTACGATTATAAGAAATAGTTTTTCAAGGAAATTTCAGGACAAGTGTACTTCTATTCGAGAATATGTCCGTACTAAATCTAATAATGACACATTACCTACTGAAGCAATAG